TCCATCAATTCCTGGAGCCTTGTTCTTTGCCAATTCCTTCATTGCAGCTTCGACTTCCTCCTTCAGTACCATTGGTTCTAGATCATAGGCCACCTCCTGAAATGGATGAAGATTGACCAATTCTTTTTGGTACAGTGGCTCTGTGTATTCCTGTTCCTCCTTCAGTACTGTTGGTTCTAGATCATATGCCACCTCCTGAAATGGATGAAGATCAACCAGTTCTTTTTGGTACAGTGGCTCTGTGTATTCCTGCCATCTTCTTTTGATGTTTCTTGCGTCATTCAATGTTTTGCCTTTAGAATCTCTCAATATTGCAACTCGAGGCTTAAATTTTTTCTTCAATTCTTTCAGCTTGAGAAATGTCAAGCCTGTTCTTCCCTTTGATTTTGTAACTCCAGGTCTTTGCACATTTCATTATAGTAATTGGCTTTGTCTTCTTGAGCTGCTCTTTCAAATCTTCAATTCAATTCTTTTATCTTGTCACTTTTTCCATTTGCTTTAGCTACTCTCTGCTCAAAGGCAAGTTTCAGAGTCTCTTCTGTCATCTATTTTGGTCTTCTCTTCTTTTGTTGTCTTTTTAGTGACCTCTTGCTTTCTTCATGGATGATGCTCTTGATGTCATCACAATTCATCTGGTTTCCAGTCACTAGTGTTCAATGCATCAAATCTATTCTTTAGATGGTCTCTAAATTCAGGAGTGATCCCAGTGAGGAGAGGGAACTCAGGCACGCCCAAAGCAGCAGGGTGGCAGAGCAGGAGAAAGGGGATTAAAACGTCTAGGAATCTGGACAGAGGAGGAGTCAGCCACAGGGACCCAGGTGAGTGTGGTATGAGAGGTTTTCAACAGGGAGACAAACTTGTCTGTCAGTTTGTCCTACCGTGGTGACGTGTTGATGTGACTTTTGAGGCTGAGCCACTGGTGTGTCAAACCCAGTGGGATGCACATGGTGCACAGGTATAAGACCAACTTACAGACTGAGACAGACTAGGAAGAAGGAAGAGGCCATCCACTTCTCAAAGAATTGGCCAGGGAAAACCTTGTAACAGCAAAGAAACACTGTTTGATACATTATCGCAAAACTTTATGAATAGTCCGGTTAGGTTAGAAGGCTCTCAAAATAGGACTGGGAAAGAGCTGAATCATCTGAGTAAACCCAGCCTTAGTCCTATGGATAAGGTAAAGCTTTTGAGACCTCCATTTGCTGATGCGGCACCACTCAAATAGAAGAGAAACAGCTGCAGGCATCCATTAATCATTGGAACATGGAATGTATGAAGTATAAATCTAGGAAAATTGGAAATTGTAAAAAATGAAATGGAATGCATAAAGATTGATATCCTTGGCATTAGTAAGCTGAAATGGACTGGTTTTGGCCACTTTGAATCAGACAACCATGTGATCTAGTATGCCGGAAATGACAATTTGAAGAGGAATGGCTTGGCATTCATCATCACAAAGAATGTTTCAAGATCTGTCCTGAAGCACAATGCTGTCAGT